TGGCAGCAGAACGAAAGAAGGCATTTTCATAACCTGTTGAAAATGGAATTCGAACTTTTTTGTAAAAAAAAAAAAAAAAATTCAAATTTATATATAAGTCACGTTTTCTTTTCTTTTTTTCTTTTTTTTTAAGAAATAGAAAAGAAACAAAAAAAAATAAGAAATACAAAAAGTAAGAAGTAGATGAGGAAGTGGAAGTAGAAGAAAAGAGAGAGAGAGAGAGAGGGAAACGGTAAAAAGAAAACGTGACTTTTTTTTTTTACTTCTTTTACTACCGGTGTTGTATATACACGAAATTTTTTTGATGGGTTTTTGTTGTTTCAACAGCAGCAGTAATTTTATTCTCGACATTTGTTTTTTTTTTCCTTTGTTTTCACTTAAATATTTAAGAAATTCAAGACAATTTAAATTTTTTCCTTTGTTTTAATGAAATTTATTAAAAGAAAAAAAATAGGTTGGCCAAACTGTCGTTTTAAAATAATCAACCAAAGATTTTTTCTTTCTTTTTCTTTTTTAATATTCGCGAGAGGGAAAAATATTTCAAAGGAATAAATAAAAAGGTAAACAACGACGACAAACATCCTTACCCCTTCGCGTAATGATTCGTAAGCAGAAGAGAAAAAAAAAAGGCATAAAGAAAAAGGAAACGTGTCACGCGTTAATTTAAAACGTTAAAAGGAATTTTTCTTTTTTTAAGTTACGAGAAATTTCCTTTGATTCCTCCGATTCATACATTAACGGATAAAAGCCTTCAAAATGGAAAATATTGTTTTGTAAAAAAAAAAAGGAAATTCGTAGCCGCCCATGTGAAAATACTATTATTATATAATAACGGAAAAAAAAATCCTTTCTTCTTCCACGAGGTGATGGATGACGAATTTAATGGAAAATTCTAGAAAAGGAAAATTATCGTCTGATGGATGCGTGGTAATAAAAAAAAAAAAAAAATTTTCTTTTTTTTTTTATTTATTCGTTTTGTTTTTATTTATTTTCTTTCGAACGGAACAACCGATTGAAGGGGGAAAGAGAGAGTGAGTGAGTGAGAGAGAGGGAAAAATAAAAGCAAGAGTGTGTAAGGGAGAAAGAACGAAAGAGTAAAAGAAGAGAGAGAGGGGAAGAGAGATAAAATGAAACAGAAAAAAATAGTGAAAAGAATAAGAGAGAAAAAGAAAGAAAGAGAGACAGAGAGGAAAAAAAGGAGAGGGGAGAGATAGAGAAGGGCTAAGATGCAGAAAAAGAAAGAAGTAATAGAGAGAGAGAAAGGGAGAATGAGAAAGGAAAATGAAAGAGAGACAGGAAGAACGGATGAGAGAAAGAGAAAGAAAGAACGACAGAAAGAAAGAAAGGTGGGAGAGAGTGAGAAAGAAAGAAAGAGAATGAAAGAGAAGGAATGAGAGAGAGAGAGAGAGAGGGAAAGAAATTTTTTTTTTTTAATTATTAAAATCCGGAAGTAGCTCCCAAGAGAAAACGGAAATGATTCTTAAAATATATAAATCAATATTTTTATAGATGATGTAATGGCAGGAGCCATAATATAGCGCTACAAAAGACATAAAAATATTTTTAATGCTACTAAAGCGATGGTAATGATGATGATAATGATAATAATAATAATAATAATAATAATAATAATAATAATAATAATAAACGATATACGTAATACGTAACCCTTATTAATAAATAATATTTTTGAAACGTAATAAAGAAAAAAGAAAAATTATATCAAACAATCCGCCATGTTTTTTTTTCATTCTAAGACCATAGAGAAAATAAAATAGGAAAATGATTCGAAATTTTTTTTTTTTATGCTATGAAACGATAGAAAAAATTTTTTTTTCTATTCTTCTTTTATCTCTCTCTCTCTCTCTTTTTTTCGTTCCACCGATCCGGATGTAAAATTGCTTGGCATTATAGGATAGAAGGCTAAGATGAATTTCCCTTTTTCACATTCATTTCGGTGTCAACTCAAATCTCTTTCTCTCTCTCTCTCTCTCTCTTGCATCCTTATCTCTTCATTCGCGAAAGAACCAAGGCCCGCACATTTTTTATCTAGACTTTCCCCTAGAGAGGATTTATTCAGCCATTACTGTCAAAAACTGTTGCGTTATTACTCGTTTTAACTTACCTTCATTTTTAAATCATTAATTTGTTTAACCCTCCCCCAATATCCCCGTCATACTCACACACGCACACACACGAACGCACACACGCACGTTTTCTTATTCCACGTTCTTTTTTTATTTTATTTTTTTCTTTAACTCCAGCCACGACTTTTAATATTTCCACACATTTTAAACTTTTTTTCTTTCCTTTTTCCTACCACTACGAATTTTATAGCTCTTCTCACTCTCTCTCTTTTTTTTTTTCTAGAAAATCTTATTTTTTCTTACTACGGTTAAACTAAAATTTGTGGAAACCACGCTGAGGTTGTTGTCAGGAGTTGTTTTATGTTCAAGACCTGAATATTAATGACACGATTTTTCCATGCTAATTACGCAATTTAAATGTTTTTAGAATTCAACGATTCATTTGAGACTGAAAATAAGAGCTGACGTGACTTTTGAATTTTACTTTTTTTTTAAAATTCATTCCTCCTTAGAATTTTCTTCGTTTAGAAAATTTTTTTTTTAAATATTATTATTATTATCATTATCATTATCATCATTATTTACACAAACACCCATTTTGTGTTATTTTCATTCGGGTTTGGTTTCGCTTCATTATCATCATTATCATTATTTTATTTCATTCGTTTTCTTCAAACCTTTCTTTTCAAAAATTAACTCTTTCTCTCTCTCTCTTTCTCTTTCTCTCTCAACCATGATAATCACGTGTGAATTCATTATCGTGGCTGTAGTTATTTTTTTTTTTTGCTGTTATATAATTTTTACTTTCTAATTACACGGTCGTTGATAAAATATAATTTTTAAAAAAATTTTTGGGGTTTTCGTTTATTTCCCTTCGTGTCGACGAATTATTATTATTTTTTTTTTGGAAGGGAGAGGGGGATGAGGAAAACAAAAAGTTATGATTTTGTCATTTGAAGAATTGTTTGTTTTAATGGGGGGGGCGGTCGGAGGTGGGGAGTCATATTTTCTCGAGGTTATTATTTGAGAAGAACAAAAAAAAAATTTCTTTATTTTTTCCATCGTTTATTAATTAAAAAAAGAAAAAATTATTTCGGGTTGTTTTAAGGGTTGTAAATTATTTAATTGATAATTTCGTTGAAGAGGATTGTTTGCGGGGGGGGGGTGTTTTGAGGATGCATGTGCGGATTAAAATTTATATTAAAAATTTTTTTTAATATTTTGAACGTGTTTTTTTTTTTCGTCAAGTGAATACATTCAAAAATTTTTTTTTAAATTTCAACCCTTATTTTCACTTTTATAGTAAATAATAAAGGATAAATTCTCTTTAAGGGATGAAAAAGAAATTTTTTTTTTTTTTGGAATTAATCGAACGTTTTAAGGAAAAATTTCATATAAAAAAAAAAAAATTTTCTCACCATTATTTTTACTCTTATTAAACTTTTGTCATTTTTACCCTTCATTTTTTTTCCTTTTCCTTTTCCTTTTTTCCATTTTTTCCTTTGTTTTTATTAAATTAAATTTTTTGTTCCTTTTTGTCGTTTCTTTTTTCTTTTCTTTTCGGTTATTATTTTGACGTCGGCAAATTTTTTTTTCTTTTTATAAAACAAAAAAAAATTCGTCTGGTTCTATTTTTTATAATAATAATAATTTTCCTTTGATAAAAACCTTTGGAACAAAATATTTCAAATCCTTTTTTTTCCTTACCGGAAATAGAAAGTTGCCCGAAGGTTTTAAAAAAACCAAAAATTTATTTATTTTTTTTCCATCATAATTCAATCCAAATTTTTTTTTTTTTCAATTTTTTAACAACAAACATGGCGTAAAATATCTATATTCTATTTACACGAACAAATATTTAAATTATTTAAGTCATTTAACAATGAATACGCGTGAATTCCATCAATTAAAAAAAATTGCTTTATCGTTGAATCCGCATTAAACGTATTTACGACCTTTACCATCCCCTCGGCTTACGTAATTTATATTCGCTCGATATATTTTTTTATTAATTATATCAACCACGTTTTAACTAACTATAATAATAATAATAATCGTCTGCTATAATTGTATTTTAAACAAACAAACAAACGAACGAACAAACATTTAAATAATATATATTTTTTTTTAATATCGATTTTCCGTTATCATAATCCGAAACGATAAAAAAAAAACCCATTTAAAATCATTTGACGGAACCGAAATTCTCCGATAGTAATAATAATAATAATAATTTGTTTTTTTTTTTATAGCGGAGATTGTTTGTTGTTGTTGTTGTTGCATCATCATTCGGATTTTATGACGTTGACAAATTTTTATTATAGTCTATATATACATATATAGAATAAAATAAAATAAATGAAAATTTGATTTATTTCCCGGTTGTCGACGCGAGAATTAACCGAGAAAAGTTTTGTTAAGTTTCGGACGGGAAAATTTCATTAGTAAAATTTCAAAATTTTCTGATTCTGACAGTTTGTTTTCTCTCTCTCTCTCTCTCTCTCTCTCTCTCTCTCTTACTCTCACTCTCTCTTTTACTCACTCTCTTCCGGCATAATTAAATGATGATGATGATGGTGATGTTGGGGGTGACGAAAAAAATTTTTTTTTATTTTTATTTTTAAATCATAAAAATTCTAGAATTATTTTTATTATCATTATCATTATTATTATTTGCGGTTTGAAAATAAAACGAGGGAAAAAAATTTCAAGTTTTTGTTTACGACATCGTTGCCAACATTATAAACAAAAAAAAAAGTAAACAAATAATACGTTATTATTTGTTTTTGTTTTTGTTTTTGAAAATGTAAGTAATTATTATTATTATTATTGTTAAATTATTAGTATTATTATTATTTTTCGTTTTTTTTAAAAAAAAAAAAAGGAAATTTTTCGTTTAAATGTTATCAAAATATGCAATATCACGATTTTTATCACATCGGTTTTTACCGCGTTTTGTTCGTCATTTAGGAGGTTTGACACCGTTGGAAAAATTCGAAAAGCTAAGAAAATTATGTTGCACGTCGGAGAAAGCAGCAAATTTAAAAATGCCAGCAATCGATGATGATGGGAGTGGTGGTGAATCGGAAGATGAACCATGTTTACCCGATCCCCTATTAGATATACGTAATAAAAATGTTTTGCTTTTGGGTGGGGGTTCGGGTATCGGTTACGAAACGAGTAAAGCACTTTTAGACGAAGGCGTCATGAGAATCATAATAGCTGATATTGATAGAATATCCGGAACTTCGGTTGTTAAAAAATTATGCGATGCATACGGTCCGGGTAAGGCATTTTTCATATTGACCGATATAAGAGAACAACCATCCATAGAAATGGCGTTTAGAGAAATCTACAAACGTTTCAATGATATAACAATTTATGTTAACATGGTCGGAGTGTATAACGAAACTCCTCAATGTTGGGATAAAATGTTGCAAACAAATTTATACGGATGCATAAGAGGAATGTTGTTAGCTTATAAATATTTGAGTCAGTATCCTCCGGGTACGCCTAATCCCACGAGCGTTATTGTTAACTTATCATCATATGGAGCCATTGCGAACGTGCCCACCATGCCGATATTTTCAGCTGCTGCTAATGGTGTACACGGACTCACGTCTAGTTTCGGACAAGATTTTCATTATAATAAAACAAAAGTCAGATGCCTTACAGTGTGCGCATCTTGCACGGATAACGGTTTGTTGAGAAACATGGATAGGCATCATTACGATAACCGTTGGGTCAAACATTCGGCTAAATTGATCAAATGTTGCACGAAACAAAGTTCCGCCATAGTCGGCAGAGCCATTTTCACCGCCATCAAATACGGTCTCAACGGTTCCGTTTACGTCATCAAAGAAGGAAAATATTACAGGTTCGTTATGCCTAGTTATACGAAACTCATGCGTCAGGAAACTATTTTGCTGTAGGAAATTTTTTTACCTGTTTTAATTAATTTTTCCTCCGAAAGAGGTCGCGCAAAACTAATTCCCTTTTATTTTTTTTTTTGGAAAATTAAAAAAAATTTTTCGTCTTTTTGTTTCGATTAGATAATAAAATAAATAAATTACTTGAATCGCAAAGAATAATTTTTTTTAAATAGAATTTTAAATCACGTGACGATTCATATATATATTTAATAACTTTCGGTTCACTCGCCGTCGGATATTAAAAAAAAAAAGGGGGAGGAGAAAAAATAAAATAAAAAAGTTTATTATCATTATCCGTTAGTCGTGATAATAATAATACATTGATATTTGTTTTGTAAAAAAAGAAAAAGATTTTTTTTTAACAATGGGAAAAATTATTTTCACCCTTTTGGACAGGGAAAAACAGTGGAAAAGTCACGAGGGGGGAAGGAGAGAGAAAGGGGAAGGTATATAAATTCACTTTGCGTAAAAAATTCTGATCGTAACCACTTTTAATCATCACTGACCGAAAAATTTTCCAACTTTTGAACACACTAAAGATAATTAATTATAAACATCAACTGGATCGTGACACGACAAAAAAAAGAAAAAAAGGAAAACTTTTAAAAAAAAAAAAAAAAAAGTGACACAAACAGACATTTGAATTTTTTGGACGGTTTAAAAAAAAAAAAGTTTAATTTTTAATCAATTTTTCTTTTGCTCCCCTCTTATTGCTACCATTTTTGCTTTACGATTTTCTCTTTTTTTTTTTCATTACTTTTCTCCCCATCCCCATCTACTCATTTCGTCTCTCTTTCTGTTTTTTCGAAATTTTTATGGGGGGAGAGAGAGAAAGAGGAAGAGAGGAAATCGTACACGTTTTCATTCGTTGAATTTTAAATAAAGTTTCTCCATTGAATAAAACGTAGAAAATTCGTATTAGGAAAAAACAGAGAAAAAACAATCGAAATCGAAAATTCGATGATGCAGTTACAAAACAAAAACAAAAACGCAACAGCAGAAGCAACAGCAAAAAGTTAAAAAAAAAAAGTAAATTGAAGGTTTGTGTGTGTGTAAGTATAGACGAGTGAAAATCAGCTCCATTTTCTTTACTTTTTTTTTTTTTTTAATTCTCTTGGGAGACGAAGGGGATGAAAAAAGGTAAGAAAAAGAGGAAGGGAAAGGGGAGGACTCTAAAGAATGAATGACGCGAGGAGGGAGGAAGGGAGAAAGGGATGAAACGATAGTATGAGAAAACCTTTTTATAACAGCCTCGAGGAAATTCTATTCTTGATTTTTCCAATTCTTTTTCTCTTTCTCATTTTTCTTTTTCTCTCTCTCTTTTTTTTTCAAGCAGGAGCAGTAACAACAGGAGTAAAAGGAGCGGTAGAGCATTTGTGTGCCTCCAAGATAAATTTCTTTTTATTTTATTTTCTTTATAGGAATTTAAGAGAACATTTATTCTGGTTTTGCATTTTGGGTAGTATGCTTTAAATTTTATTATTCCCTTCGTTCTTTTTAAATGGTTTTTTTTTTGTCAAAAGTGTAATGATATCGCCGCCGCCCTCCGCTACCCCCCATCGCCCTTCATCACTCCGACAACAGCGATACGTATATAAAAACTAACACAAAAAAAAAAAAATTTTTTTTTCCTCTCAATATCTCTCACTTATTTTAAATAACAAAAATTATATTTCTTGCTCACCCTCTCTCTTCTCCCTCCTCCTTCCCTTTCGAATTATATATTTAAAAAAATTTGATTATTTTTTCAACATTTCCCTTTAATTATCATTATTTATCCTGTTGGAAAACAAAAAAACTTTTTTAAACCACTTTAAAAGTTTTTTTTTTTTTAATATATGTGCGTAAATATATAGATACAAGGATGATTGCATTGAATAAAAACCTTATTGTAATTATCCAGAGAGCACGAAAGAGAGAGGGGGGAGAGGGGGAGCGGAGAGAGAAAGAGAGATAGTAAAAGTTGAATTGATGATGAAGAAGTCTGGCCAATAAAAGTTACAAGTTCCCTGTCTTATAATAAAATTCAACTTGCAAAGCAATTTAAACTTTCAAAACTCTTGATGACTCTATGGAGCTCTTGAATCAACAATTCTTTTCATTTTTTTTATGTTTTCCTATTCATATAATAAAAATATTCATTCTCCTTTTTATTTTACTAAAAAAAAATTTTTTTTAAAATCCTGTTTACGCTCCTGTTTAACTTTTTTTATTTTAATTTTTTCCTTCATCCCGTTTTCAATTGAATAATTTTTTTCGAGATTCGAAAATACCATTCGATTATTATTAATATTAATTTTTAAAAAATTAATTGAAACTCCGGCTGTGACGTCATTCTAGTCACGTGGAAAAAAACAAACCGGAAATACGTAATTTTTTTTTCAAATGAAAATTCACAATATGTTATTAGAAGACAAAAAAAATTTATTTGTTTTGGTTGTTTTTTATTTTTGTTTTGGCACTCTAAAATTAAAATTTATGTGTGCTTAAATAAATAAATAAATTGGGGAGGAGGATGAGGGGGGTGTCTTATGCCAAAAAAATAAGTTTTTAAAAAAAAAAAACGTTAGCAAATAAAATTTACAACAGGATTTTCATTCCGGTTTGAATATAAAAAAAAAAAAATTAAAATATTTTTAATTGATTTATTTTTTAAACATGTGTAAATATATTTATTAAAATATATCAAAGGTTTTTCCTTTGTCTTCTTTCCCTTTTCCCTTCCCCCCTCCCATTGTCCCCCCATCATTCATTTTTTTCGTTCTTTTTCCCTCCCTCTCTTAATCTCTTTTTGAAAAACTTTCATTCAATCGTTTGTTCGGATTTTTTTTTTTTTCCTATTAGTTATCTCGAATGTTTCGTTCGGGAAAAAAGGGGGAGGAGGAAGGGGGAGGGGAAATCCTATTTTCAAAATGGCGGAAGAATCGTTCGCTTTACGACTCCGATACGATACGAAAAAAACTTTCCGTCTACAAAATCGTAAAAATTTTTATTTTAATGGACTTATGATGAGCATTAATGTAATTGAATAAATTTTTGGAAACCCTAAAAAAAAGCAGAAGACAAAACATAACAAAAAAAAGCAGAAGACAAAACGAAAAAAAAAACAAAACTTAATCCGACACCTGTCACTCTTATCAAAACAAAAACACGTCAAATTTTCATGTTGTTAACCTCCTCTTGTTGCTCATACATTTTTCCCTCTATTATTATCATTATTATTATTATTTTCTCATTTCCAATTTATTTTCTTTTTTGGTCCTTTACGACCGGGATATTCCCTCCCTTCCTCCCCCATTCTCCTTTTTATTTTTTAAATATCCCCCTTTTTTTCTGTCCTCCCTTCTTTCAGCTTCCGCAAATTCTTCTAAATTATTTTAAATCCGACATTGTCGCGATGATATAAAATTTTTTTTTTTCTCGCAGATTGACATTCACTTCCGGTAGATTTTTATTTAAGGTCAAAGGTCGATGAAAAATTAGGAGGAGGAGGAGGGTTGAAAAAAACGCGGGAAAATTCAAAAGTAAAATTTTTTTTCGTTTCGTTCCTTTGTTTATTTTATTTATCGTTAACCACTTCCGGTTGTGGTGCGTGCGAGGTGGAAAAAAAATTTACAAAATAATTTTATTTCCGGTTTGAAATTTTGTTTTTTTTTTTGGGGGGGTTTTTTCTTTCAATAGAAGTAAATCTCGTCGTCACAAAAAACTAGAAAAAAAAATTTTTTTCTTTTTTTTTGTTTTAATCCTCTTGTCAACATCTTTCGTTTTCTGTCATTCAACAATGCAAACTCAGCAAAAAATTATTATTATTATTATTATTAGAGTCCTTCTGTCTTTACTAATAAGATTCCCTGTCGCCTTTTGTATGAATTTTCTGACGTCATTTCAACGAACTAATAAAGTTTTTTTTGTCGTCCAAACTCGAAAGAAAAAAAAAAAAAAAAAAAAAAAAAAAAAAAAAGGAAAAAAAGACGAAGGTTGGTCGGTTCGTTGGTTCCACTTGAAGAATTTTTCCAATAAAACCTTCCGACTTTGTTTTTACAAAGGTTTTTTTTTTTTTTTATTTGAAAAAGTTATTGAAAAATGTCTGCCTGTTGACTACGAAAAGATTTATTTATTGCCATATTTGTAATATTTGGATTTTCTGGTTTTTCTTCTCTTCTCTTCACCCTCCCCCCGAAATATTTTCTCGCTTCTTTCGCCATTACGAAATATCCCCGCAAGGAATTTTCGTTTTTCCTTGTTCGTAAACCGTCTTGTAAATTATTATTATTATTATTTTTATATATATAAATTTCAACATTGATAATGATGATGATGATGAATTCAATTTGTTCAGAAAAACGCCCTTTTTTTTTTTTTTTAATTTCATCGACATTGAAATGTGTCAAAGTTTTAACGTTCGGTGAAAAAAGTTTTTTTTTTTTTTTGTTAAATTAAAATTCAACGCTACGATTTGAAAAAAGACAAGTCGAAAAAAAAAAGAAGAAGAAATCGAATGAGAAAGAGAGAGAGAGAGAGAGATGGGGAGGGGGGAGGGAGAAAAAGTTTTCATCAAATGTGATCCTTTTTAACAATGTAAAAACTAACTTTTTAAAAACTTTTTTCTTTTTTTTTTTTTTTTTATTCTTCCCTGTATAAATAAAAAAAAAAAGTTTTAAAACCAAAGCTTGTGAGAATTAAAAGAGTTTTTTTTTTTTTAAGTTTCGCGCCATGAATTTATCTTAGTTCGGGTCAATTTTACTTTTTTTTTTTCCACGTCCTAATATAATTTACTTTGGGTTTTTCACCCCCCCCCTCCCCCCGAGAAAAATTATTTATTAATATTATAACGATATCCGGTCGTCGTTTTCCGCTAAAAATTTTTATTTACTCTATGACTTTGATGCAATAACGAAGTTTTTTCCTTCCTCCGCCATCTTTACGATTCGTACATTTTGTTTTTGTTTTTTAATTAAATTAAATTTTTTCAACATTGTTAGCCAACAAAAAAAAAAGAA